ATGTGTCATTGAGCATGTTGGAGGTGTTTTTTTATATACATTATTTCATTTGCTTCTTACAAATATTCCCAGGAGATGGCATAAATCATTTTACCAGATGAAGAAACTGGAATTCAAAGAGGTTACATGGCTTAGTAACTAACAAGATCACATAGTAGGTAGCAGTGAGTCCAGATCTGCTTAACTTCAAAACACATGCTGTTTCCTTTATACCAACTCTTACTCTTTTCTTGGTAGCAAGATCTATATCACGTTTCATCTGTGGTTCACTTTGGTCTGTTGAAACAAAGTGATGGAAAAGAATTATCCCATAATCATATATTTTTAGCAGATTTTAAATCAGTTAGTGAAAATACAGGAATAGATGATTGCATGGAAGAGGGAATAAATTGATAGTTATAACATGGGAAATGCAAGAAATGAAAGAGCAAAATATAAACGAGTAACTTACAGATAGGGCCTAGAAAACTATTAAATATTTACTAATTACTTTTATTAGTGAACTTAGTTCCTTCACGAACTTCTGCTTTATAATATTCATCAAGTTGCAAGTCAAGCTGTTTTATTCCCAAATTTGAAACTATAGTTCATTATAAAAATTGAGTTATAGAGATGTCTAACAGTGGAATTCAATACAGGACAATGTTTAAGTGAAACAGCTGGTTGGCTTGTGACTGAGTACCTTGCCCTGTTGCTATGAAACAGTTCTTTCCCCTTATTTCTGTTACTTGTTACCTGTTTTAGGCTGTATCTCTTAGTTCAAAGCTTTGTACTCTCAGGTCTGCTCAAGTCTGAAGACAACAAGGATTCTTACAATTGTGTATCAGCCACCAAAGAAATTTATTAAGTACTTTTTTTCTAGGCAATACTTACTAGCTGTCAAGGAAGGTGGCCCCGCCTCCTCAGACCAGGTGGTCCTTATATTGTAACTCACTACACACGTAACATGTGGCTACGTGTTTAGCTAAAACAAAAGTTTCATGAAACAGCGTTTGCCTTTACTGAAGTGTGATGCATTCCGATATTATTTATTCTATTTGATTGAATTTCAAATGTGGGTTGCAACACAGTGATAAGTGAGGATCATACTGATGCAGTGACATTTGAGCAAAGTTTTGATGGAGCCGAGGGAGGGAACCATGCCAATATCTGGAGGAAGCTTTCCAGTTAGAAAGAATAGCAAGTGCAAAGTCCTGAGGAGAAGGGAGCATGCTCGGCAAGTTCAGGGCACAGCAAGGAAGGCAGTGTGGCTGGAACGGTGTGAGCAAGATGGAGACTGCCTTGGTTCACTGGGCTGCCATAACAAAACACATGAACTGGGTGGCTTATAAACGACAGAAATTTATTTCTCACAGTCTTGGAGGCTGGGAAGTCCAAGATTAAGATAGATTTAGTGTCTACTAAGGGCCTGCTTGCTGTGTCCTGACATGGTGAAAGAGGTGAGGGGTCTCTCTCAGGCCTCCTTTACATGGGCACTAATCCCACTCATAAGGGCTCCACCTTCATGACCTGATCAGCACCCAAAGGCCCCGTCTCCTAACAGCATCACCTTGGGGGTTAGGATTTCAATACATAAATTTAGTGGGGGAGGGACACAAACATTCAGACTACAGCAGAGAGTAAGAGCAGATGACTTCCTACTCCACAGGCCTTATAGGCTATGTAAGAACTTTGGCTTCTACTCTGAGAGAGTTGAAGAACCATTTGGAGGGTTTTGAACAAAACAGAGACATGATCTGATGTATGTTTGAAAAGGACCACTCTGGCTTCTGTGTTGAGAATGAACAGTAGGGAGGCAAGATAGGAGTTTACTGTAATAATCCAGCAGAGGCATAAAGAGGGCCTGGGGCAGGGTGAGGGGTAGGAGAGTGATGAGGAATGGTTGAATTCTGGATATGTTTCGCAAGTGGAGCCAAGAGGGTTTCCTGAATGATTGAATGTGGGTTGGGAGAGCAAGAGAGGAATAGACATTGACTTGGATTTCCAGAGACTACTTTTATTGATGTGCAGTTGAAGCTCGCTTTTTACCACTCTCCATCCAAGTGACCTGACAGATTAATCCCTCTGTCTATTATCCTCTATAACTAATGCAAGAGACACCTGAACTTCATGGCCAAGTGGCTCCTCTCTAGAACACCCCTCCATTACTACCTCTAACTCCTGGTCCCGATGAATGAGTTGTCTGTGTACCAAGAGTTGTTGACTTCTTTCCAAAACTCTACATTACAATTTTACTTTTAATAACTAAACTTATCAATTAAATATAATGTTAAATAATGGAACATGAATTTGAAAACAAAGAATTGGAGGATTTGGTAAGTGTCAGTAAAGAAGAGTCCTAAAAAATCATTATTGAATAGGAGACAACTGTAATAATAGAGAGAAAAATTATAAAATCCAGAATGATTATGTCCTCAGATTGCTTTGCAAATTTTTTTTTTGAGACAGGGTCTTGCTCTGTTGCCCAGGCTAGAGTGCAGTGGTGTCACCATAGCTCACAGCAACCTCAAACTCCTGGGCTCAAGCAATTCTCCTGCCTCAGCCTCCTGAGTAGCTGGGTCTACAGGCACACACCATCACACCTGGGCTAATTTTTGTATTTTTTTTGTACAGATGGGGTCTGGCTATATTGCTCAGGCCAGTCTCAAACTCCTGGCCTCAAGCGATCCTCCTGCCTCAGCCTCCCAAAGTGCTAGGATTACAGGCGTGGGCCACCGCACCTGGGCTGCAAATATTTTTAAGTTCTTCCTGCAAAGAAATTAAAACTAGAAATCATACCATTTGGTTGTGGCTTATGGAAGAAAAACAATGTAAACCTATCAACAGACACATGCTTAAAGGAAGGGTCTTGGCTTTTCTGCAAAGATTGACACTGAATGTATAGATGTTCACAGAATGTATTTAATTCCCTTTTCTCTCCAGCTTTTTTCCCTTCCCATTGAAAAACTGTTCAGATCATCTTGAAGGCGACTGTTTTCATTGCATGTTATTGATAATTTACATATGCTAAAAATGTTCATATTGACAGCAAATACTTTTCCTTGAACCATATCCTATTTCTCCATTCTGGTGCATTGGCAGTGAGGGTCCTGGGTTTTCATTTCTAATGTGTTTTGTGAAGAATGAATTCACTTGACTTAACCTTTACAATTAGACTGTAATAAGAATATACAGCTTGAGAGCCCATGATCACAAAGCACAATGTAGACTTTTAAAAAACTATAACCCTATCACTAAATAATGTTCTGAAGGCAACAAAATACTATTAAGAAAAGAGTGACTAAGAAAATGAAGTCAGCATGTAGGAGAGATATCCGCACTCCCGTGTTCACTGCAGCATTACTCACAACAGCCAAGATACGGAATCAACCTAAGCATCCATCAGTGGACGAATGGATAAAAAAATTATGGTACATACACACAATGGGATACCATTCAGCCATAAAAAAAAAACCCAAAATCCTGTCATTTGCAAAAGCGTGGATAAACCCAAAGGACATTATGTTAAATGAAATAAACCAGGCACAGAAAGACAAATACCACATGATCTCACTTATACGTGGAATCTAAAAATGTCGAACTCATAGAAGCAGACAGTAGAATGGTGTTACTAGGGGCTGAGGGATTGGGGGAGTTTTGCAGATTTTGGTCAAAGAACACAAAATTTTAGCTAGATAGCAGAAATAAATTCAAAAGATCTATTGCACAACATGGTGATACTTCACAGTGAGCAGGTCTATGTAAACCTACCCCCAAACGCTGAGGGAGCTGAGAGGCCCAAGAAGGAGGCTGACAAATCCAGTTTCTCAGGAAGAAACATTTAATAAAGACTTAAGAACAAAAGCCATGTCTCGGGTGGCCAAGAGATTGTGGATCCCTGCCCTGTTACCCACCATACATGGGGCTTATATACCATAGAGAAAGGGTATACGTGCTTCAGAGGGAATGTGTAGGGCAACTGATAACATCTTGTCCTAATCTAAAGGGCCAAGTAGATAAAATACAAATCTTAGAGGCATTCCTGGAACTGGGATTAATCGGAAGTCAGCATGGTGGATTAGCATCCATGACGGATGTGCTTTAGGCTCCGCTATAGTTAATAGTGACTATAGTTAGTAACAATGTATGATATACCTGAAAATTGCTAACAGAGTTTACATATTCTAACTACACAAAAAATGAGGTAATGCATGTTAATTAGCTTGATTTAGACGTTTCACAATGTATACATATTTCAAAACATCATAAATATACAATTTCAATTTGTCAATTAAAATTTTTTTTTAAAGTTTAAGGACATTAGGAAAAAGAGTTTGACTTATTTCCATCCATTTGTAATTGTAGAAAAAGAGTATCTGTAGAAACATCCTTTGGCCCCCAGAGGGCGCAGGGCAGAAAGAAGTCAGAGCTGAGGGTTTGTGCCCTCCAGCCGGCACCACCTGGTTACCAGGGCTGCTGAAGTGAAAAGAAAAGGGGGTCGCTGTCCACCTCAGAGAACATTTGCTATGGGATGTTGGTAGACACAGGGTTGTATTAATATATATCTAAACCCTATCTCTTGTTTTTGGTGAAGTGTAATAAATATGCAAAAAATTGCAGAAACCTCTTTACTCCATCACCTTCTTTCTGCCTCACCTACAGATATGGAGTGTCTGTGTGTCTGTCTCTTTCTGTGTCTCTCTGTCTCTGTATGTTTGTGTCTGTGTCTCACTCTGTGTCCCTATCTCTCCCTCCCTCCCTGATTCTGCAAAGCGGGGGGCCCACAGTGCTCCAGGCCTTCCTTCCTACAAGAAACACAATACTGCTGAAAGTACATGAATGTGGCTAAATTATGCAAATTTGCAGTTCTAAATGTTCTGCCAATAGGCTGTAACTGCAGATTTTCTCTTCAAGATAGGAAACAAAACCCAAGCAACCCCCTCTGGTATTCTCTTATATTTCAGAGATATTTCTCTTATCATTTAGATATTTGGAACAGTTTAATTGAACAGGTTTCTTCCCCTCTTCAATATTTTACTGAAGTGTTTCAAGGAATACTAATAGCACAATATTTACTGTAAGAATGTCGTATATCAATTTAACTGCTGCATGAATATTAATTTATTGAAGTTACCATTATTATGGACACATAATGCTCCTCAGAGGGGGAGGTGAATGTTACCAGCAACAGGACAAAGCTATCTTCAAAAGACAGACATAATGGGAAGCAGCTTCACAGTTTGGTTTATACGTATACTGAGGTCGAGTCCAGCTATGTCTGTGTCTCTGCAGGTTCCAGGTTTTGGATGAGGAGACTCAGGAATGTCTCTAGCCGCTTCCTGGATCTGTATGCGATCAGTCCTCCCTTGTTGGCCCACCGATCCACCCCAGTAGCGCCCTCGTTTTCCACGTGGTACACCAACTGTGGCAAATCAAGCCCCGTTTCGGGATTTCTTTCTAAGCATTCTTTCAAGTCTACTATTCCCCCACCCATGGCCCGCAGTATGGCGTGAGCAGCACAAGAGTCCCACTTGAAAGTGGTATCTTCTGAAAAGATGTAAATGTCAACAAGCCCTTGGACAACACAAAGGCTCTTGTAACCAGCCCCGGCTGCCCCAAATATGCTATCTCCACACACACGTGACAACGCGGCTTTGATAGTGTCCTTTTCGCTTGTACTAATGACTGCTGAAAAATGGGGGGAGAAATCTGCTTCAGAGCCGGTGTTTCCAGGCTGAGTCTCGCTGCCGCTTCTTTCAGAGGTGGCGTGCTGCAGTGAATGGATGTTGGTCCCCATGTAAGAAAGGCCCCAGTAGCACTGTCCTTTCCACCTGCAGAAGGAAGATTTCAGTTGGTGGAGGTGATTATCACATTTGTTTTCTATTATTCATGTTGTGTTCAAACTTAGTGATATAAAAAAATAAATGGTATCATAAACACAGTTGAGTCTTAATGCCCTTAAGCCTTGTAATAGACATCAAGTAGCTAGTTTATTCCTAGAAGTTACTCAAGGCATGCAGCTGCCTGAGTTGTTGCAGAGTTAGGAATGCTTTTAATTTTACCTCATTATCACATCAATGTAGGGCAGCACTAAAATATTTGTGGCATTTCCAGCTCCCAGAACCCCGGCAAAACTTCATCATCACTCCTGGCATTTAAAGTTTAATAGGGCAAAAGATGAATGGATAAATAACAGCTCTTTTCAATCTGCAAATCTTTTACAATCCTCATAACAAGATTTTCTTCATTTGGTAACACCTTTTCATTCTCTCATTCACTAGTTTCACTTTGGTTTCTAACACCAAGAGAGATGGACTCATACTAGTATTTTTGGTGACAATAATAGTACCTTCCACTTATCAATGCTTAACTTACTATCTATGTTGGGTGATTTATTCTACTGACAGATAAGAAAACAGAGGCTTAGAGAATGCAAATGACTTGCTGAGGCCCACTCAGCTAGTGAGTGGTAGAATCTGCATTCAAACCCAGGCAGTCCAGAATCTGCACCTCTAACTGCTTAGTTGACCACTTCCATTTCTAGGCCATGATTATGTCTGCATGTTGTCCCAGTTCTTTTTAATAATTTAACGATCTTTAAAAGGTAACAGAGACACATTTTTGGTTTGGAAGAGGCAGAGGAAAAATATCAAAATTTCAGAGTTGTAAACTTACGACGATGAAAGAGCAAATAATTCTTACCTGAAGCAACTCAAAGTTCAATAAAAATATATAGTCCTACATAAATGTAAAAATATGACTGATTTCAATAAAAACCTGAAGCTGCTTCTTCTAGATGGACTCTGCTATGCCCTAGAGTCAACCCCAAAGCACAGGCCACGGATCAGAGGCACTGGGTCCTGGCCATCCTCTAAGCTCTGTCCAAGAGCCCATGGAAGGGTGAGGAGGGAGGAGGCAGAAAGGGAAGCAATGCTGACGACATTTAGAAGCAGTTATGCCATAATTAGGTTCTAATTCTGGCCATAGCTACCAATCTTTTCATTCGATAATTTTCACATTTTGAATTTCTAAAATTACATAAAAGTTCAACCAACTATGTGGTGATAACATCTATCTTGTTCCACATGTATTGGAAGACAGTGTTACCACCATTCTATTCATCTGGTTTTGAGTGGATTCTAGAAACAGGGAACAGGATTGCTATATTCCAAATGTAAAACCATGATTTCTCCAAGATAGTATTTCTTTGAAAATTTCTACCAGCCTGTACATGGCCCCAAATAAAATTATGACACATCCAGGATTGAAAATAGAAAGAAACTTAATTCCAACATGCGGACTTTTAGTGGGAACACCCCAATGGATGAAGTCATGGGAATGTCACGTAGTGATTGATAATCCTGACAATAAGCAAAGCTGAGGTCATAAATTCCGAAAACCATAATGTACCAAAATCACCTGTCTTTTACCTGAGGGTGTTTAGGTCTTGTGACACAAAAGGCTGGTTGATGACCCCCATGAGGGGCACCCCTGTCTGTCTGTCGTAGACACCAACTAAAACGGTGACACACTGAAGTCCACAGGGAAAGACTCCTTGGTTGGACTTGACGTCAGTAGAACCTTTTATATACTGGTAAGTCGAATCTGAAAAATGAAGCAAAAGTGTTTGGATTTAGGTAAAGATTATTTGGAAGATAATGATGAATACATCTATAAACTCTGTCCGGTGTCATTTCTCTCTTCTACTAATTTGGTCACCAATCAGGTTTTACCTTCAGATGTCACTTGTATTGAATTGTTATTTGACCACTTGTATTTCACTTTTAAACTGTTTATATCTCATTTCCTGACTCTGTGAGAACTCTTGAGGGGAGAGGACATGTCTATAGTTCCTGTGGCATCTAGCATAGCCCCTTGCAAATGATAAGCACTCAAATATATGTCACTTGTCGAAAGCATTTAAAAACTAATGACTCAGGATAACTGGTGGAATTATTTTAGAACTGTTACTAATCAGAGACCCAGGACAATGTAAGATGGAAAAGCCTCATTGCAGGAATCTGTCATAGGTACAATTATCTTTTATTATTATTATTATTGTTTGACTCCTCAAGTTAGAAGGGAGAAAGACAGTGGTGGCACAAAAGGAAGAAATTAACGGTGCTCCCATAAAGAAGAGGCAGAGAAGCTAGGTTTCCCCTTAGGAGATGTACATGCCAGCAGTTGACCGTCAACATCTAGTGACTTACACACAGTTCAGGACGTGCCTGGCAAAAGATCCAAAGAGCTAGGGAACGGAATCAATTCAGGGTGGAACAAAGAAACAGGAGATCCTTGTCCCTTAGAAACCATAACTGATGCCAATTTACCCTTAAGAGATAAAAGATTTTAGGAAAGATTCTTAGGTTCCATATATAATCTTTGGCTGCATGTTATATAATTGTCTGATGACTAAACCCATTTCTATAACATGTTAATGTGCTTGTAGGACGGGAAAGGTTGGGGGGAGTTCGGCATAATGAATGGTCTCATTGTGTTGGGTGGAGTATGTCAGGGAGGTGGGGAAAAAAAAGGGAGGGGGACTTTTTAAAATTAATACCCAGGACTTTGTATTAACAACACTATCAAGGATAAGGGCTACATTTTTAAAACAATGAGTTATAGATTATGGTTCTACCACAATAATGACAAGAAATAATGGTAAGGTTTACCCAGGGCTCATAAACTGACCGTGAGTCACATTCAGCTGTGTTTTGCCTCACCTGTACAGTGTTTTTGATTTGTTTGTTTAACTGAATTAGCAGCCAATGGTTAAAAATTGGGATATCACACTTAAAAATCTGGATTTTGGTTTCTTTTTGAAAAATCTGAAGATCTGGCCTGTACTGCCCTATGGCAACAATCTGCTGGAGCTAAGTGCTCTTTAAATAGCATGTGTGTTCACCTGCTGATAAATGAGAGCGAGGCGATAGCAGTTATTTACCAGTCTAGACCCGAAGTCTTTTAAAGATGAGTTAATTTGTCTTTGTACATGTGCCTGTGTATATGTAAATGTGGTATACACACACACCTGTTATAGATATGTATATATGTACACATAGCTATATGTGTATATCTATATAACATATACGTATACCTCAATGCTTATCATTTTAAAACTTTACAATTTCAAAAACTTCTAGGAGAGTTAAACTACACTCTCAATTTTTATTTTTCAAAGTGAAAAAAGATTGAGAATATAAGAAGAAATAAATGAAAGCAAACATACTCTCCTATACTTACCTATGGGATCCACCCAAATTCCCAAAATGTCCTGTGGAATGTCGATCTCTATTGAATCCAGAGTTGGGTCAGTAAAGGCAACATCCTGATGAACAACCTTGGCTAATGCTTCAGATGCCAACTTGTTACCATTAAGGACCTTGCTAAGAAGCTCTACTGTTTCTTCCTCTGTTGAACACAGTCTCAAGGTAATCTTTTCCCCTAGAGTAAAGACAAACTAAAAGCCATTATATTTCAAGGATTTCAGTGGAGAAAGGACAAGAGAGAGAGGACAACAAAGCTGTGCACTTAGATTAGGTGAGGGCAATATCTCCATGCCAGTGGTTCCTAAGCCTACTGACTGCCAGAATCACCCGGGGGACTTCGTAAAAATCACAGATGCCCAGTGGCCAATCATGCACTTAATCTGAATAGTGAGGATGGGTTCCAGGAATCAAAAGACCTCCCCAGAACAATGTCCACGTGGGCACAATTTTGTATCCAATTTAAGGGATACATAGACCAGTTAAGAATCCCTGAATCATTGATCATTAATCTTTTATTTCCTTATTTTTGTCTTGACTTTTTATATACATAGGTCATCCTGTTCATGCCTGCATATGTTACCGAAAAGAACAGAGGTTTTTATTAGCACACTGAAGTACTTCTACCCGCTACGATACTGCTTTTAACTGAAAACTGTTTATGCTAAGTAATAAAAGATGAATACTAATCTTTAAATGTAGTAAAACTGTGTGACTCTAAATGATATACGTAGAAATAGCTCTTTTCTGTGAAACCTGAGAATGAGAACATAAGCAAAGCTGCTTCTTCAAGTGAAACCAGAAGTTACTAAGTCCAGATAATATACCATCTCCATTCCTCCCTCTTTCTTTTGGAGACGGGGTCCCACTCTGTTGCCCAGACTGGAATGCAGTGGTGTGATCATAGCTCACTGTAGCCTTGAAGTCCTGGGCTCAAGCGATCCTCCCACCTCAGCCTCCTGAGTGGGATTACAGGCATGAACCACTGCACCCAGCCTACCACCACTTTTAAACATGCTTCTTAGACCCTTGGTTAATTTGGTTCCCAGCTCCAAATTGAAGTGAGGGAAGAGGCTAGTAAAAATAGACAAACAAATAGCAACAAAAAGTGATAGCAATGAAGAAAACAAAAAAATTGTTAAAAATTAAGAAAGCGTGGCACTTTGGAGCTTTTAGGTATATAGACAAATACTCCTGGCTATTCTATCTGTTCCAAGGACCAGGTGTCTGCATCACCTGAGAGCTTATTAGAAATTCAGAATCTCCCCACTCCAGACCTACTGAATTTTAACAAGATCCTGAGGTGATTATATGATCGGTAAAGTTTGGGAAGCACAGTATGAATTTATTATACTTATGACTGAATCAGCATGAAATATTCAGTTAAATTCAAATTTAATTAGACTGTTAGAGTTAGGGAATAATAATGCTAAGAATTTCCATTTAACACCTACTTTGGGCTCCGTAAAAGTCATGGGATCATTCAAAGGAGCAAATCATATCATGTCACTCCTTTGCTTAAAATTTGTGTCTTCCCATCACATTTAGAGGGAAATGCAAACTCCTTCCTGTGATCTGGTCTTGCCTGCACTGACATCATATGCTATCTCCTCTCTTCTCGCCACAATTCTCTGTCCTTTCAACAAACAGGAAAATGGATTGCCTTTTCAATTCTAGATAAATTAAACATTAAAATAGCTGTTTAAGAAGTAGTCAAATGTAGCTTTTTTGGAGGGAGGGTCTCACTCTGTCACCCAGGCTGGAGTGCAGTGGTGTCATCATAGCTCACTGCAACCTCAAACTCCTGGGCTCAAGTGATCCTCCTGCCTTGGCCTCTTAGAGTTCTAGGATTAAGGCGAGAGCCACCACACCTTGTCCAAATGTAGAATTTTAAATGTGATTGACACATAAGAAATCCTACAAGAGTTTTTTTTTTTTTTTAAACCTTCAATGGTTTAAATGAGATCTCTCTTCTTACTGAATGTCATAGAACTAGAATACATAGCCAGTGCATCTTAATACATAGTCAATGAAGGAGACTAAAAAATTCAGTTCGTCTAGAAATTCATTCTTTCTTTGTAAATACGCCTCTAGATATTTAACTATTTGTTATATGATCGGTGTTTACAGTTCACTATTTTA